GTTTTAGACAGCATTCACTGTCCCTTTTAACTCCTTGTTCTCCAGCCCAAATTCCATTTGAACTAAGCAGCCATAATTCTGCTCCACTTAGCTACCTGCTAAAGCTGAATTTGGAGAAAATGTGAGAAGAGGTAAAATCCATGGAAAATCTCTCTCAGTTCAATGCTATGAATCCTGTATGAACAGCACTCTTAAGCCTGGCTGTTGACTACAGCTTTTAAGTTCCTCATGAACCCTAGCAGGTCCAAAATTTCTGGTGCTGGTGAATCCTGGAAAGAACCAGCAGTTTGTTATATCTGGAGGACATTTTGGTAAAACTGTCCCAAGCTATGGCAGGCAAGAAGCCTGTGCTGCTGAAAAATGTTACTGTTGTCTGCTCAAAGCTGGGTTTAAATATTGACCAGTTGCATAGAAAATAGCATCTGATTTGTCAACTGCACGAAAAATAGACACTGAGAAATGAGCACATTTATCTGCATCCTGGAGCTTCCAGTTCCCAGAGATACCAAAGCGAATATTGAACGTTTGGTGAAAAGTCAAACTGGAGGAAAAGAAGAGCTGCTTAGATCAGGAGTTGAAGATTTCCTTGCTGGAGGACTACAGACAACTCAGAGCAAGGATGCTTGAGCCTGGTTGGTATTTTCTACTAAAAGTGATTTTTCTTTCCAGAAGTGACCTTGAGATAGTCACTGTTGGTTTTACTAGTCTTCTGGAGCAAAACTTCCAGCTAGAAGTTGTGTACCAGAATGCTCCCAAGTGCTTCAGAGCTACAGAAAGCACGACTGGACAAGACTTGAGCAGACAAAAGTGTTTCTCTTTTTCCTCTGTGCCTTCTCTGCTGGAAAAGCCAACTCTTACCCAGCCTGAAAGACTGTCAGGAATGTCACTGGTCAGGATTCAGAGCCTCTTTTGTCCCACCTGTGTCTGTGTCACAGCCATCACATGGGGCTCAATGAATTTGTCATGCCACAATTAATCCATTTCAGCAGCTGATTTTCCTCACTGGCCTGCTTCCCACCTCCCCAGGGCACTTCTTCTGTCACGGCTGAACGGGGTGGGGATTGTGGAAGTGCTAATGGGGTGGCTTTTCTCAGAGCCTTCAAACTGTGTGTGAGCACGTGGGTCAGGGTGGGAGTTTCTGACAGTCTCCTGGGAACTCTCCAGAGGGGAGCTGCTTCTCCAGGTATACAGGCAATTACTTCTTTCGATGTATTTTTTTGAGTTAGTGATTTAATTGTGGCAGGCATTGCTTTTGCCATGCATAGAGGTAGCTCAAGAAATGGAGATACACTAATTACAAGACAGATGATGTGAAACAAGGGTTTATAAAACACAGTATTTACCCTATAAATACTAAAACAAGAAAAACGTGATAGAGTTTATTACAGTACTTATAAATCAAAGTAGCACAACAGCAAAAGAAAGAAAAATGAGGCACTTAGTTCTTACCTTACATATATTCTGTGATACTCCCTCCCAGATTTTATAAACAAATAAAGTATGTTAACAAATAGACCAACTATGCTTCTGATACTTGATAAGCATGAGGATGAAATTGTAATCAAAAGAGCTCAAATTAGACTAAATTACTTCTTTATTTATTCTTTTCCTTCAGGCGCTATTTAACATCATATTTTTGGTAGAAATGAAACATTCACAGTGTCTTTTTCAGAGGATGGAAACCTTATGTTTGGAATGATTTCTGCTCTGGAATGTCTGTAATATATTGAAGCCTTAATACTTTGCTAATTGGTACCTCACTAATTAGCCCGTGACAAGAATTTTAATCAGAGTCACAGTAGGTGTTCTCCCTGTGTATAGTGGAGGAGCTATTTCCTGAGGAAAGAAGTGGAGGGAAAAAGATAGTGGAAGGGATCAATAGAAGACAAATACAATCTAATTCCTACTGTGGGAAGAGTGTACATGAATTAATATTTCTCAAAATTACATCTCTGTGAAGTACATTAAAGTTCACTTGGTGATTTGCTCTTTTCACCTGTAGAACAAATTGGACATTTTTTTTGCTGTGGCTTGATGTGTTAGAAGCAAAAGGAGAGATACTGGAACATGACTGTAGTTAATTATTCTCAGGGCCCACCCCAGAAACGGAGCTAAGTGCATCCTCAGTCTCTATAATCTGAGTTAAAGAGCTGAGCTGTGTACCCGTGAGCTGGATGAAGGAGAACAAGGCTGAAAAGGGAGATGCCCAACACCCATGAGCAATGGCCTTAGCTGAGCCTGGGCAGTAGCCTGTTCCAGAGGGAAAAATGCATACAAAAAGTCTGGAAGACACAACTGAGTGAATTGCTATCAACGACGACTCAAAACTGACAGTATTGATGAGCATCATCTATTATTTTTCTTCTATCAGGAAAAGAGGCAGAGGAGGGATAGAAGATACCTGCCTGAAAATACTGCTAATGTTCTCATTAGCTTAATGGCCTATATCCCGTTGCAGAGGACTTTAGGATTGTCATTGGAGTTGGAGGCTGTTTTAAAATCTGTAAAATATCCAGTGCAGTGAGAGTCTTAAAAACATAAACACAAAATGTAGTCCCTCTCCAAGGAAGCCTGAATTATGTGTGTATAAATATAAAGTTATTTGTCAGGCCTGGTAATCCCTGTAAGCCCAGCAGTGAAAAGGGTGATTCAGTTTCAGCAGATAATGGGACATTCTGAAAAATGGTGATCAGGTCCAGGGAACATTTTCTGTAAGGAGATATAAACATCAATAAAAGTAAGGGAAGGGTGAATTGCACAAAAGGGAAAACCAGTGAATGATTTTTACTCCTTTGAAAGAACACTTTAGGAAAGGGTTTTTTGAAGAGAGTGAAGAACTTGCTGTACAGTTTTCATTATTTAAAAAATAACTTTTTTCTACTTAATTACTGGGAAAATTCTTACTCATTGTGAATAAGGTCACAGGTGAGCCACATTCTGATGGGTGAATTGCAGATATTTAAAAGCAGTAGCTAAGGAATATTTTGATCCAGGAAGCAGTATGAGGGAAGGGAGAATAAAGTTAACACACCTTTTGGTTTTTATAAAGTTTGCAACAATCCCTGTGAGACCAGTGATTATTTTGTGAATGTTAGAGGACACTGGTGGTATGAAAACGGTAAATTAATAAATGTAAAAAATCTGTAAGATTTATGTGTAAGTTGTACTGCAAAAAAAAAATGTCATCCTTGTGCCAAAACCTAAATAGCCCAATCTCAGTCAACTAATATGAACAGTATATAGTCTGAAAAACAGTGGCACATTGTTTGTCGAATAATTTTGAATACAGGAGAAGTCAGAGAAAATTATGATGGCCTGTGACACACTCTACAAACAGTAAAAGTTAATCTAAAATTGTATTTGCTCTGAAGTATTCACTCAGCTGCCCTGCCTGGTAAAAGATGCTATCTTTTCAAAGGGCTTTATTAACCTGCCTGTCCTACAAGGTCTGGTCATTTGTCACGGCAGATTTGTCTCCTCCTATGGGCTTGATGAGAAACAGAAAGGGGTGGGGAACTCGGGCTGGGGTGAGTGGGATGGTGTAGTTTCCATCTTTTACAGGCAGAGATGCAAGGCTTATCCAGGTACATAAGGTATACTGCTGGGTGTCTAATTAGGATGCAGGCTGGGTCTGGCATATCTTGAGGTACATCTGGATCACTCCTGCTCAGCTTGGAGCATAAGGGTGAACTTGAGTACCCCTGCAAACAGGCTGCAGCCAAACCTCCTGTCCACTTCCTTGTGGGACTGCTGCTCACATCCCAGAATACCCACCAGAGACTGGAGCACTTCAGGCAGAGAAACTCTGAGAACTGAATAAGCCAGTTGGAAAAGGCAATTATAACGTGGCAGCACTTCATTTGAACGGTGCATTTTGGAAGGAGGAAAAAGCCACACAACAAATCACCTCTTATGTGATTGCCTTTTTTTCCCCAAGAAATAAAAGGAGTTTGATTTTCTGTCCTGAGTCCTTTGGTGATGATAGAATTCAGCATCCAAGATTTTTATCTTTCCTGCTACACACATATGTGGGTTTGCTATGGGGTACATTGGAAAGTTTGGGATTTCAGGCCTCTACAGAACATCTCCTTCATATCCCAGGTGGTCCAGTGTTACTTTACCAAGTCTAGTTGAGATAAGGATGGAGATTACAGTGCACATAAGAAGCCCTACCCAGACTTGGCAGGGAGGAGAGGATATTGGTTTGCTGAAGTAATTACCCATAGGAAGTGGTGAGGCTGACACTGGTTTCATTTACTGAGTGCTGCTAAAGATACTTATCTGTACTCAGAAGGCTTTAGTCTTTTATGGTTTGGATGCTGGCTGTGAAGGAAGCTCTGTCTTTTTTCTCTATGCTCTATCCAGCAGTAGTGCTTTTGGAAATATTCTGAAGACTTTTATATCTGAAAAGTGAAGGAAAATACAGTCTTACGTCTGAGCCTTGTACTGCAGCTCATTTAATGGGGGACATGCTGTCTTGAATTTGAAGGAATATTTGGAGTGTGTTTGTTTGGGTAAATAGAGGGTATTATGTTGTGGAGTAGAGATATAGCTGCTGTTGTCTTGGTTTTTTTGTCTCCTCTACCCAGAATTGGCTAGAAAAGCATTTTCTAAACGATAAAATGATATCCAAATATTTTATGATCTCTTCTTTCTTACATAATTTAAACCGAAGATTCCTTATTTAAGAAAACCTAAAATGAATTCCAGAGCCTGTGTTATGTAAGCCAGTTAGTTACATCAAGCAGAAAACTGAACATTGCCTTTGGGAGAGACACGGGGGAAAACAAATGCTTGAAAGCAGAATCTGGGAAAGGGAGGACAACTTGGGGACCAGCTTCTCCACAAACCACACCCCAGAGAGGCTGGTGAAATGTGTCGGATCCACGTGGAGCACCAGTCAACCTCAGAGGTTCTGCAGGATCAGCTAGGGATGCTTGCGTGCGTGTGCTCAGCCTGGGAATACTGCTCAACATTCTCACATTATTTTGTCTTCCAGAATGATTGAAGATTGTGGGAAAAGAGGAAATACCATGGCAGAAAGAAGGCAGCTGTTTGCAGAAATGCGTAAGTAATCCCTAGAAGTGCCTCGCTGTGATAGACCAGGCCAGTTGCAATGCAGTGGCAGTAGAATTTGTGCAAGCTTTCCACCTCGAGTAACTGATACCTCCATTTCACAAAGGGTTTAATGTCATGAAGCCAAAACTACAGGAAAATGGGCTGTTCTGACCAAATAGCAGGGGAGGAATTTTCTACATCAGATTTTGCGATTGTAGTATTTTAATCAAGTTTCTTGAAACAAAAATGCTGCAATATACAGGGAGCAATGACAAGGGGCAAAGGTCTCCAAAAGACTACATCTTTTAGTGGGAATGTCTGTAGTGGGAATGTCTGTAGTGGGTTGACCCCAGGCAGTTGCTAAGTACCCACACAACTACTTGCCTAAATCCCAATCAGCTCCGAGGGAGAGCAAAAGCAAGAAAACTCATGGCTTGAGATAGAGACAGCTGATTAAGTGATGGAGAGAGGAAAAAGACTACAACAAAACCCAGCAACGAGAATTGATGCAAAGGTGGCCAGTCACCACCTCCCCAGAGCAGACCGGTGCCCAGCCAGTCTCTGAGCAGTGTCAAACGTGGAAGACAAAACTCCCCACCTCCTTTTACTCCACCCCAATTTTATTGTTGAGCGTGATATTATTATGGTATGGACTGTGCTTTTGGCCAGGTAGGGTCATCTGTCCTGCTTGTGTCCTCTCCCAGCCTCTTTCCCACCCCTAGCCCACTCTGGGAGGGGACAGAGTAGGAAACAAAAAGGCCTGAATGCTGTGCAGGCACTGTTCAGCAACAGCTAAAACATTTCTCAAGGAAATTCTCTTATGTATGAAGACTGAGACTGTCACCTTATTGCTAGGTTTATCTAAGTTCTGTCTGTAATCACTAAGCTTGCTATTATTTGTCCCCTGCAACATATTAAGAAATGACAGAACATCTCCCCCACCTTCTGGGGGCGACCAGGACGAGGGTTACTGGGACTTCAGCAACTGTGCACGCTGGAAGGCCAAGTCTGTGCTGGTGAATTAAATGTGCTCAGGATTCTTCTCCAGGGGTGAGCCCAGGGGTGACCAGATGCTTTACAGCTACCCTCTTGAGATCTCCATATTAAGGACTTCTCATTCAGATGGCCCACTGAGAATGGTCTTGGCCTGTTCCACTGTGCCTGCTAACTCTGTCGTGCCCTGTCGTTATTTCGGGATCACACAAGGCTTGCCAAGTAATGTGGATATTTCTCTTGTCCCTTGTGTACATCTTGGACCAGTGAAGGGAGAGCTTTTTCTTTGCCCAGAAGCAGAAAACAACAACAACAACAACAAAAAAGGATGATGCACTTGTCCATTATCAGAACATAGTATACTGTTCATTAGAATTACAGAGAGAACTGGAGATTGTATCAGCTGAAGTCAATAGCACAACTTCCATTAACTTCAGTTAGTTTGAAGTACTCCTAAAATGGAAGGTAATTGCTCAAGACTTTGCTGCGAGGATTTGTGGTTTGTTCCCACAGTTTTGAGAGCTGTTTTGCTGTTGGGTTGTTTAGGAGGAGTTAAGGAGGTGTTGGGAAGATTTATAATCAGTAGTTGGATGCGGAGGAGGGACTGTTTTCCAATTCTGTATATAAATACTTATTGTCTACTATTTTTTCTTTCACATTTTACTATTTTGACATATTTCTTGAGTCTTGTTTATCTCACATGTGCTTCCTTTTTCTATTTGTCTGCCTCCCTTCTTATTACTACTACACATGCACAGAGAACTGGGTTCCAACTAGGTAAAAAGAAGGGAAGATATCACATCTTTGTGAAAAAATGAATTCATTTTAGGCAAAGAAATGCCCGTATTCATAAAACACTGAATTTTGCATTTTGAGAGTCCCTTGGATTCCTGTGTGGGTAAAGGATGTGCTGCACTTCAGCAGAAGCTCATCCTGGCATGGCATTCAGGTGCCCTCAGCTGTGTGCAAGCCCACGTGATCCATGGTTAACAAAAACCATGTGTTCCACGTACTGCAGGCCATGTGATGCTTCTTAACTTTATATCAGCTTCTGGTAAACTCCACAACCTGCTGATGTTAGAAGAAGAAAAATCATAATATAGATGACTTTGCCAGTGCTGTAGGTTCTTGCACTTGTATCTACAAGTCTGTGCTGCAACCGCACAATACTTTTAGAAAATGGGTCATGTTCCAGACTACACAACAAAATAATTCCAACTTTTCCTGCCTTTTTGAGGAGGAAATTTGTTCTGAGCAAAGAATAGGTTGATTTGACTCTCACTTTAAATTTGGGCCACTATGTGGTTTTCCTTGTGTTTAAAGAAGTTTAGTCTGAGTTCTCTGTTTCCTTTCCTTTAGAATAGGCACCTTTCTGGCTCGAAACTACAAAACTTTGTGATTACTATCATAGTCAATATAATCTTCTGTAGAATCCTATGGTTGAAGATTAAATTGTGTCTGATATCTCAAAATGCACCATTATATGTCAAATCACTAGGCAAACCTCAGCCTTACCTGACGTGCTCATGTATATCCAGGTAGATATGATGAAGAGAATTGAAAATATACCTACTGTTGTGCTGCCAGCAGGAAAACAGCAGCCAGAGATTGCAGTGTTTATTTTTTACTTTAAACTTTATTATTTTTGAAGACTGCAAATAGTGTTACATGGGATGACCATGTTGAGAAGAACCAGAATAAAACAGTGGCAGTGGTCGAAGAAAGAGAGACCACTGGCAATTCTGGGGGCAAGTTAAAAATTCAGAGTCTCATTTGCCATGCTCAGTCCCACACATCTTCCCACTTGTTGTTCAGGACTCTCCATGTAAGTGAAGTCACTTTTCTACACAAGTTATTTGGCAAATAGATCTCCGACTGTGGCAAAATGTGAATCATGATAAAACTAAATTGTCTGTTCTAGGGATTTATCAGCAAAAACACTTACACCCCAAATAATAATCAAAATAATACCATTGACTGTATGTGTAAACAGTAAAGAAAAAAACAACTTCATTGCCTACAAGTTTTTTGAAGTTTAGGATTAATACTGCAACCTAGGAAGCTCCATGAGCCAGTTTCCCTGTGGTTTGAATCTTTAGATATTGTTAAAAGGCTGAAGCTTTATAAAGGAGCACTCAAAGCTCTTATTAGAAGTTTTCACTAAAATTAAGAGGGAAGAAGTTAAATTCATGTTACTCATTGATTGTATTAAAAAAGGAAAGACTTAGTGTTACAAACATTATCCTCCCATTTACCAATTCCCTGTGGTTTGAATCTTTAGATATTGTTAAAAGGCTGAAGCTTTATAAAGGAGCACTCAAAGCTTTTGATAGAAGTTTTCACTAAAATTAAGAGGAAGAAGTTAAATTCATTTTACTCATTGATTGTATTAAAAAAAGGAAAGACTTAGTGTTACAAGCATTATTCTCCCCTTTACCAATAAAGTTTTCCACAAGCTGTCAATGAGGTACTAATGGAGAAGAGAAAAACCTGTGTAATATAGCAATAAAGCATATGATGGAAAAAAAAAAGCCAGACCTGATGTTGAGTACTTCAGGGTAGCTTCTCCCAGGAGCAGATTAAGACAGCCAGCTGGCAAAAGGGAGTAGCTGGGAGCCCTGGGAAGATGGTGTGGGAGAATGCTGTCAGTAAAAGAGCAGAATCTGAGGGGAGGGTTTCATTCCCATTTTCATCTCAGGTCAGAGAACATCTGAAAATCTTGGGTCCAGAGGGTGGCAGGTAGTTTCAGAAAGCGTGGGTGAACGATGCCGACGTGGCCACGTGTGCAACAGTGCAGCTGAGTGGCCAGACTGATAATGTCAGGAGGAATCTCAAAGCATTCAGAGAGCACGTGTAAAAGCAGAACAGGGCCATGTTCCACCCCACCTCTCTTTTACAGCCTGGTTGCACCTCGTTTGGATGTGTTGCATGCAGGTAGCTCCTTTAGAACCTCTGGTTTTTACAGCTTGGTACCTTGGTCAGTGGAGCAGAACAACAGAATAGAACAGGTTTTACCTCTGCTACAGGGCCAACCACAATGAAAAAACAAATGAGCAGAATTTTAATCGGATGTGTTGCCATGAAATGTGTGGTAAAATTAATAAGCAATCTTACATTTCATAGGCCATATTGTAGCTGTGAGGCAATAATTCTTTACGTAAGACATACCAGCTAAGAAGAAGAATGATTTAAATTGCAGTCTCCTCATCTGCTTTTTGAGGTTTTTTGGTTTTGTGAGTGGTACACAGCAGGAAGAGGCCTAAAGACTGTGCCAGGTTCTGCCTCCACCCCAGTCCCTCTCTGCTGGGCTCTCCTATGCGAAGTAGCTACCAGCCAGTTTATCCCCATCTCCTGGACAGCTGCTTTGGAAATGTTGGATCTTTAAGTTGGAGCAGCCGTGGCCAAGCTGTGTGTGAAGAAGAGAGCTGACCTTTTGAGGTCTGCATTGCAGAGGACATACCTTTATAACATGCAGAAAGGCCTCACAGCCTTTGCATTATTTCTGCCCCCTTCTGCAGGCTGCTGTCGGCCTTTTCATGACAGCATGATGTTGTTTCTGATTTGGTTTGCTGGCAATACCTTGTTCTGATCTCGCATGTCAGCCAAAGATATTTGTTATGAGCTTTGTTGTTAAATATTAAAATTAGATGGAGGTTTTCCCTGCTGTTGGAGCCTGGCCAGTGTGTCTTTTAGCCTGCAGCTTGACCAGATTGTTCTTCAAAGCGACAGAGACATGGAGCTGACTATCCCTTGCCTTCCCTTATAGAAGCCTGTTAACACTGCAGCTCCTGCCATTCCCCTTCTTTCTCCTCACCCCTCTCTACTCTGCCCACAAAGGACAGAGCCTTGAAAATTATTAAACAGTCAGCTCATGTGTCCCCTTTGTTCTCTGGCTTCCCTGCTGGCAAAGATACACACAGGTCGTATTCCACACCAATGTCCCTGTTGCTCTGTTCCACCAGGGGCTCAGGATCTGGATCGCATTCGCCTCTCCACCTACCGCACGGCCTGCAAGCTGAGGTTTGTCCAGAAGAAATGCAACTGTAAGTATGTCAGCACTCCTTTCACATACTGTTATTAGCTTCCCACTGCACTCCCCAGTCTCTCCTTCACATCAGTCACAGCCCCGGACTCTTTGATCCTGCGTGGCAAAGGACAACGATCCGAGTGCCTGGGCAGATTTTAATTAACCTGTTTCTATAAGGCACTTGTCTGAAACGTGCCAGTGATTCAGTCATGGAAGGGTGGGTCGTGATGGAAGCCACAGCCTTGATTAATAAGTGCACTAGCTACATTCTCCAGTTTTCTTGTAAAATGCCATTTGTGGGTTCCAGCATGATGGCACAAATTAAATACTTCTCTAGCAGCTCCATGAGAGGAAATGGTGGCTCCAGGCCTCGTCTCTTTGGGGTGCAGCAAAGTAAGTGCAATATTAGCCCCCTTTTTGCCAGAAGGCCAGCTAGAGACATCTCTTCTAAGAGAGTGTACCTGTTTGTCCTCCTCCACCTAGGCTTTGTTCTTGAGAAGTTTCCCACTTGATTAGTGACTATTGTTTAACATTTTTTTTCTGATATTCAGTCTTTCTTCCTTCACAGCTGCAGTTTCTGCTAGCACGGTCACGTGCTATGGACTTTAAATGGGAAATACATACAAAATCTGTAATGGTATCCAAACTAGTATACCACTGCTTAGAATGGCAGGGTTTGATTATGCATTTTACCAGAGCCTTCCACACCAGGTCAAAAAACCCATCCTAACCAGGGTAACTCTTGTCGGTGTGAGCAGCAGGGAGAGGGCTAAGGCAGAGGAAACAACATTTTTAGTCTTCATATCTAAACTAGAATGACAGCTTGGCTACACTTGTGCTACTCACAGTGGTAAGTATGCTGCAAAATACTCACTGCAGATAGAGATTAGCTGCTCTAGAGAATGTTCCTAGTTTTGGGGTTACATCTGTCTGCATTACAGAAATGTTTATCTTATGCTGTCCAAGCACATTGGAGAGGCCAAGTTCTGGTGGAAAAGACTTCAGGGAGTATTTATGGGGTTATTAGCTTTGGAGCTGGTCGTTCAATCACTTCTGCAGCACATTCCTCATGTTTTTAATATGTGTTTAGCTGATGTATGAATTGAAGGATTAACAGTATCACTTTGTAAGCAGGCTGCCAGGCACAAAACCCAGGAGGGGTTTAGTACCTGCCCAGCACCTGCCTTCTCCCATTCAGGAGGAGAGGCGTTGAAAGACATTATTATATTGCATTCAATTGTTCATTTTATTTTTTTTAGATTTTATGTTGAAGAGGATTAAATTTTCATGTCATTTTCATGGTAACAGACCACAATAGTCTGAGGTGACAAAAGTAGCCAATTTAGTTGGCAGTGACAGCAAAGTCATAACACTAATTGCTTTGCTAACTGCATCCAAAGCAAATGTTCAAACATAAGGATGCAGTAGCCTCACTGTTGGGAGCTGCTGCCTGGCTAAAAGTATTGATTGTTAATCTTAACTTTTTCCTCTTATTTATCAGCTGCAACCTGCTTTTGTGGAACTGTTGCTTCTCTTGATAAAGAGTCAATACACATGCCCTTCAGTTTGTCAGCTTGTGCCAAGTTGGTCATGGAAAGTACTTGCCTTCTGGTTGCCATTGATAACCCAGGAGAAGATTTGCTGGTCTTACATCAAGACTTACACTGTATCAGAAGACAAAAAGGGTGAACTTAAAGTATCATCCTAAGAATTAGGTGCTGTGTAACTTAAGGAATAATGCCTGTTGCTGTGGAATGGGCTGAATTGTGTGTGTCTTTTCACCATCAAGCACAGTTTTCTTATGCTTGTTTCTGGTAGGCTGCTGCTGTCCCAGATAGCTTTCTCTTATTACTGGGAAAATCATTCATTCATTCACCTGGTGGGATTTCAAACAATGAGTGTCCAAGATAGAGCTTCTAACACAGAGCCACTGAACCAAACACTGCCCTGAAGTGGTTAATATCTGACTTCTGGCTCATGTTTCTTTTAATTTTTTTTCCTATAGAAATTTTCATTATATGCCACCCAATAGTAAGTTCAGGAAAAAAGAAAAGGGGGATGTGGGAGGGGGAAAAAAAATCTGAGCTGTTTCATTTAGAGGAGAATATAAAAAGAAAAAGCTCAAAGGCAGTTGTGCTCCACTCCCAGTGGGTAGCACCTCCTGTCACTCCAGCCACCCTTGTGGCTTTCAGCCTGCTCTCCTGGCCTGCCCTGGCACACTGGCCCAGACTTACCAGGAGAAAATTGCTAGGACAGAATATATTGAAGGGGTTCTTTGAAAGAGATAATTTAATAAATTGCAGGGAGCTGCTCTTGGCTACAGGCTGAAGGTGTGTGAGGATGGAAGCAGAGAGGCTTTGAGTGCCAGAAGTGGCTGTTCCAAGGCAAGCAGAGCAGAGGTTTTGTTAACACCAGCTTTTTTACCTGAAGGTGCCCGTTAGCACAGACAGTCACAGGGTATCATTTAACTGGCAGCTCTGCTTATCACAATGCACTGATTGTTTCTGCTGCCTCTAATGCTGCCACAGGTTCATCTCCTGGCCTCCCTTTGTGAATTCTTCTCAGTACAAAAGGGTTTGTGCTGAAACCTTCTGCAGCAGGCTGGGTTTCACTGGTGAAGTAGGCACTGCATGATGGGCAAAGGTGTCTTGATAATCTCAGAGCCATTTTCTCTTGCAGCATTTCTGCTGAAGCTGGCTAAACTATCCGGCCAAAGATTATAGAGAAGGTGGCAGTTTACCACCATTCACCAGTGTATCACTGCCTGTGTTACACCTCCAACTACTCCCACTGCTGATCAAATGAATTATGTCATTTTCACAAGAGGAAGACTACTTTAAAGATATTTATCAGTCTTCAAAATTGTAAATATATGTCTTTCTGATAATTCTGCAAAACTTTAGAAAAGCTACTGTGCATGTCAAAAGTATTTCTTTTATAAAAATCTTTCAGATCGTTTAAACCAACAGGCAGTTTAAATAAAATCAGCAAAGTGAGAAAAATCAGTATCAGTCATTGCAATTATTTGTCAAACAGGATAGAATTGAATCCAGTCCAGCCTCATTCTTCAGAGAGGCAAGAGATTCTTCTTGAGAACTCAGAAAAAATATTACTAGATAAGTTTGAAAAAGCTGTAATGTTAATTTTTAAAGAAAAAATCCTATAAATTTAAGCACTCCCCTTTGCCTATGTTAATGCTACAAATATAACAATAACTTTTACAAGTTATTGTTGGCATACCTCTCAATCTGCCATGTCCCCAAACGTGGGATGCGATATGTGACAAAATCCCCAAAGTAAGAGACCCACAAAACTACATGCAGGAATCCTCAAGGCTGGGAAGCTTTGCTAGTGCACCATGAACATAAACATAGTTTATGTTTCTCTGTTTCCACTGACAATTTATAAAATCAAAAGTAATGAAAAGAGAAGCCCTGTAGATAGCACAGGTAATTTTAAGGATGTGGTCAGTGAAGAGATGACTGCAGGCTACTTGCTTATTGCTTTGCAGAACTCCTGTAGCAATAGACCTGTTGTAGTAGCACTAGTCTTCTCTTAGTCCATAAGTACTAAACACAAGATGTAGATACTTTTTCTGCCAGAAGAATAAAAATCAAAGAAATACTAAAGAAGCCTTGAGAAGAACTTGAGATTTGGACATGAATAATTCCAATGAATGCCAAGAGTCTTGGACAGATGGACCCCTGAGAAAACGCTGCTGCTGGTTGTGCTGTCTTCAGATCTCAGAATGTAAAGCAGGAGTTTGCAAGCTGACTGTGGCTGCTCTGTCTTGGCAACAGCAGGACCCTAATAATTTGAAGTTAAATTTCATTATTGGGGATAATAAAAGCAGATAGGAAGTGGGTGCAGAAAACCTGCTCAAACATGTTTATTCCAGTGTGTACTGTACAAAATGTGAATAGCTGACTTTGTCATCTAAGTTTTCTAGATGTGCTTTATTGCTGTCCCTGTATAGTGCACACTGCAAGAATCAAGTCACAGAGCTTGAAAACCCTGTGAACCAGTGTTGCTCTGACAAGGTCAAACATTAGAGTGTTGTCCTTCACTTCTCCAGTGCATCAGAGCAGGTTTTGAAGCATCCAGTACAAATTCTTCCCATACCAACTCCCACTCAGCTGCCCTGACTGCCAGGAAAATGCCATCCTGACAAGGCTGATTTACAGCTGTTTGTCCATAGCATTCAGACACAGAAGCATCATTTCCTAAAACAAGGCATGGAGGACCAATGTCAGCAGTCACGTGTATCTCTCAACATTCACCAGTTTTCAGGAACCACCAAAAAGCACAGTCTGTGGTTATCCCCAGTGATCATTGTGCAGTTGGTTTATTTTAATATTTGGTTTTCAGTGAATTTATTAAAACCCATTTGTTTATACAGGAAAGCAAGATGAAATGTCATGTTCACATGCAGATTCCCTCTGGGCTATGGTGGCAGCAGGAGCAGAACATAACAACTTCTTGTAATCAAAACGATTATACAATTAAGCATCACTCACTAATACAGAACTGTACAGCTGGAAAACTGCTGCTGTCCTTGATGAACTTTCCTGAATGTGTTGTGACATTATTCTATGACCCTGGCTGGAAAAAGCAGATTTTGCAGATTTCCCTAGATTGGAATAAATCATTGGCAGTTGAAAGATTGAATCTAAAGCCATGCTGGTGATAGTAATATAAGGCTTAATTAATGCAGACAAAAAGAGACCTTGATTCTCTGGCAGACTGTTTCTAATCCCAGCACTTCAGGGTTTCAGAGTCGTTATTTCTCCCTTCAATATTTTTCTGTGTGAGTCTTTTTCTTTTCCATTGTTTTATTGTATCCAAACTGTAGTACAGCTGTTGCTGCATAGACAGTGCAGCTGCCGTGACTGTGATGGAGACCTTGGGGATGTCCAAGGCAGTCTCCTCCACCTCCACCCTGCTCTTCCTCCTGCCTCCTCCACAGCTGAGGCATGTAGGGCACGTCAGCCTGATTTTCATACATGCTTTGGGGTG